GGGATCCCTGGGTGGGGTTTGGGGTCCCTGGGTGGGGGATCTGGGGGTCTTGAGGAGGGGGTTAGTCCCTGGGTGGAGTTTGGGGGTCCCTGGGTGGGGTTTGGGGGTCCTGGGTGGGAGTTTAGGGGTCCTGGGAGGGTTGGGGGTCCCTGGGAGGGGCTGGGGGTCCTGGGAGGGTTGGGGGTCCCTGGGAGGGGTTGGGGGTCCTGAGAGGGGTTTGGGGGTCCCTGGGTGGGGTTTGGGGGTCCTGGGTGGGGTTTGGGGGTCCCTTGAGGGGATTTGGGGGACCCTGGGTGGAGTTTGGGGATCCTGGGTGGGGTTTGGGGGGTCCTGGGTGGGGTTTGGGGGGTCCTGGGGAGGGTTGGGGGTCCCTGAGTGGGATCTGGGGGTCCTGGCAGGGTGGGGGTCTCTGATGGGGTTTGGGGTCCTCGATGGGGTTTGGGGGTCCCTGGGTGGGGGTTGGGGGTCCCTGGGAGGGGGTTGGGGGTCTCTCGGTGGGATTTGGGGCATCCTGGGAGGGTTTGGGGTCCCCGGAGGGGGTTTGGGGCCCTGGGGTCCTCGGTGGGATTTGAGGGTCCTGGGATGGATTTTGGGGTCCTCAATTGGTTTTGGGGGTCCTGGGTGGGATTTGAGGGGTCCTGGAGGGAGTTGGGAGTCCCTGGAGGTGGGGTCTCTGATGGGGTCCTGGGGGTCCTTTATGGAATCTGGGGGGCTCTGAAGGAGGATTTGGAAGGTCCTGGGAAGGGGTTTGGGGGTCCCCCGATGGAATTTGGGGGTCCCTGGGTGGGTGCTGGGAGCAGGGCCTGGGTCTGTCCCCCCTGGGTGGGCTCTCAGGGGTCTGAGCCTCCCAGACCCCCCAATCCCCTCCCAGAATTACCTGTCAAGGAACTTTTACAACCTGCGATTCCTGGCCCTGTTTTTGGCCTTCGCCATCAACTTCATCCTCCTCTTCTACAAGGTGGGGCCTGGGGGCTCTGGGGGCTCCTGGGGTGGTCCTGGGGGGTCTGGGGTGGTCCTGGGGGTCTGGGGTGGTCCTGGGGTGGTCCTGGGGGTCTGGGGTGGTCCTGGGGGTCTGGGGTGGTCCTGGGGGCTCTGGGGTCTGGGTGGTCCTGGGGGTCTGGGGTGGTCCTGGGAGTGGTCCTGGGGGGTCTGGGGTGGTCCTGGGGGTCTGGGGTGGTCCTGGGGGGTCCTGGGGGTCTGGGGTGTCCTGGGGCAGGGGCCCTAGGTGCTCCTGGGGGGTCTGGGGTGGTCCTGGAGGGTCTAGGGTGGTCCTGGGGGTCCTGGGTGGGTCTGGGGGTCTGGGTTCTGGGGGTCTGAGGTGGTCCTGGGGGCTCCTGGGGGTCTCAGGGTGGTCCTGGGGGTCTGGGGTGGTCCTGGGGCTGGGGTCCTGGGGTCTGGGGTGGTCCTGGAGGGGTCTGGGGTGGTCCTGGGGGGTCCTGGGGGTCCTGGATTGGGGTCGTCCTGGGGAGGTCTGGGGTGGTCCTGGGTGGTCCTGGGGATCTGGGGGTGGTCCTGGGGGTCTGGGGTGGTCCTGGGTGGCTCCTGGGGGTCTGGGGTGGTCCTGGGGGCTCCTGGGGGTCTGGGGTGGTCCTGGGGGGTCTGGGGGGTCTGGGTGGTCCTGGGGGTCTGGGGTGGTCCTGGGGGCTCCTGGGGGGTCTGGGGTGGTCCTGGGGGGTCTGGGGTGGTCCTGGGGGTCCTGGGGGTCTGGGGTGGTCCTGGGGGGTCAGGGGGTCTGGGGTGGTCTAGGGTGGTCCTGGGGGTCTGGGGTGGTCTGGGGGCCTGGGGGGGTCTGGGGTGGTCCTGGGGGGCTCCTGGGGGTCTGGGGTGGTCCTGGGGACTCCTGGGGGGTCTGGGGTGGTCCTGGGGGGTCTGGGGTGGTCCTGGGGGTCTGGGGTGGTCCTGGGGTCTGGGGTGGTCCTGGGGGGTCTGGGGTGGTCCTGGGGTCTGGTCTAAGGTGGTCCTGGGGGGGTCTGGGGTGGTCCTGGGGGGGTCTGGGGTGTCCATTTTTGGGGTGTCCCCCCCATCCCACAGAGCCCCCATTTTTGGGGGATGTCCCCATTTTTGGGGAATGTCCCCATTTTTGGGATGCCCCCATTTTTGGGGTGTCCCCCCACAGAACCCCCCCTGTCCCCACAGGTGTCCGAGCACCCCCCGGGGTTCCTGGAGGAGCCCGAGGGCTCCGGGGGGGTCCCCGAGGAGGCTCCAGGGGGGGCCGAGGCCGAGGGGGGGGACCCCGAGGAGCCCGAGGTTTATTATTTCCTGGAGGAGAGCACGGGCTACATGGGCCCTGCCCTCAGGGGGCTCGCCCTGGCACACACCCTGGTGGCTTTTCTGTGCATCATCGGCTACAACTGCCTCAAGGTGGGACCCTGGGACCCCCAACCCCCTGAGCCCCCCCAGATCCCACTGACCCTCCCAGACCTCCCCTGAGCCCAGGGACCCCAACCCTGACCCCACACACCCTGGTGGCCTTCCTGTGCATCATCAGGCTATAACTGCCTCAAGGTGGGACCCCTGGGACCCCCAAATCCCCTAGGCCCCCCAAACTCCCCCTGAGCCCCCTGAGCCCTGGGACCCCAACCCTGACCCCACACACCCTCGTGGCCTTTCTGTGCATCATCGGCTACAACTGCCTCAAGGTGGGACCCCCAAATCACCCTGGGACCCCCCTGAGGCCCCCCAAATCCCACTGGCACCCCCAAATCCCACCTGACACCCCCAAATCCCACTGACACCCCCAAAATCCCCCTGGGACCCCAACCCTGACCCCACACACCCTGGTGGCCTTTCTGTGCATCATCAGATACAACTGCCTCAAGGTGAGACCCCCCAAATCACCCTGGGACCCCCCAAATCCCACTGAGCCCCCCAAATCCCACTGACACCCCAGACCTCCCTGACACCCCCGATCCCTCTGGGACCCCAACCCTGACCCCACACACCCTGGTGGCCTTTCTGTGCATCATCGGATACAACTGCCTCAAGGTGGGACCCTGGGACCCCCCAAATCCCCCTGAGCCCCCAGATCCCCCTGAGGCCCCCAAATCCCACTGACCCTCCCAGACCTCCTGAGCCCTGGGACCCCAACCCTGACCCCACACACCCTGGTGGCCTTTCTGTGCATCATCGGGTACAACTGCCTCAAGGTGGGACCCCAAATCCCCTGAGCCCCCCAAATCCCCTGAGCCCCCCTGAGCCCTGGGACCCCAGCCCTGACCCCACACACCTCGTGGCCTTCCTGTGCATCATCGGATACAACTGCCTCAAGGTGGGACCCCAAATCACCCTGAGCCCCCTGAGGCCCCCAAATCCCCCTAGGCCCCCACTGGCTCAGGGACCCTAGCCCTGACCCCACCACACCCTGGTGGCTTTTCTGTGCATCATCGGATACAACTGCCTCAAGGTGGGACCCCAATCCCCTGAGCCCCCAAATCCCACTGGGACCCCCAGATCCCACTGCAGCACCCCTGAGCCCCCTGAGCCCTGGGACCCCAACCCTGACCCCACACACCCTCATGTGGCCTTCCTGTGCATCATTGGGTACAACTGCCTCAAGGTGGGACCCTAGGACCCCCAAATCCCACTGACACTCCCAAATCCCCCTGGGACCCCCAATCCCCTGACATCCCCATGACCCCCTGTCCCCTGTTCACAGTCCCCCTGGTGATTTTCAATGATGAGAGAAGGAGGTGGCCCTGGGACCCCCAGTGTCCCTGGGACTCCCAATGTCCCTGGGACCCCCATGTCCCTGGGACCCCCTTGTCCCTGGGACCCCCTTGTCCCTGTGACCCCCTCAATCCCTGGGACCCCCAATGTCCCTGTGACCCCCCCATGTCCCTGAGACCCCCCATATCCCCCTGAGCCCCCTGTGTCACCTGTGACCCCCAATGTCCCCCTGACCTCCATGTCCACTGTGCCCCACTTTAATGTCCCTCTGACTCCCCCAATGTCCCTGTGACCCCCAATGTCCCTGTGACCCCCCCATGTCCCTGGGACCCCCCAATGTCCCCCCTGTGACCCCTCAATGTCTCCTGTGACCCCCAATGTCTCTGTGACCCCCATATCCCCTGAGCCCCCAATGTCCCTGTGACCCCCAATATCCCTGTGACCCCCATGTCCCTGTGACCCCCAATGTCCCCCTGACCCTCCCATGTCCCTGTGACCCCCAATGTCCCTGTGACTCCCCAATGTCCCTGTGACTCCCCCATGTCCCTGTGACCCCCAATGTCCTCTGTGACCCCCAATGTCCCCTCTGACCCCCATGTCCCCCTGACCCCCCCATGTCCCTGTGACCCCCAATGTCCCTGTGACCCCCAATGTCCCCCCTGACCCCCAATGTCACCCTGGACTTCTAATGTCCCTGGGACTCCCCATGTCCTCCAGTGACTCCCCATGTCCCTGTGTCCCCCAATGTCCCTGTCACCCCCTGGCCCCCAATGTCCCCCCCCAGATCCCCTGGTGATTTTTAAACGAGAAAAGGAGGTCGCTCGCAGCCTGGAGTCCTCATGGGCTCTACATCACCTAGCAGCCCCCAATGTCCCTGTGACCCCCAATGTCCCTGTGACCCCTGACCCCCAAAATGTCCCTGTGACCCCCAAAATGTCCCCCCAGATCCCCTGGTGATTTTTAAACGAGAAAAGGAGGTTGCTCGCAGCCTGGAGTTCTCGGGCTCTACATCCTGCAACCCCCAATGTCCCCTATGACCCCCAATGTCCTGTGACCCCCCATGTCCCTGTGACCCCCAATGTCCCCTGACCCCAAAATGTCCCCCAGATCCCCCTGGTGATTTTTAAACGAGAAAAGGAGGTTGCTCGCAGTCTGGAGTTCTCGGGGCTCTACATCACCCAGCAGCTCCCCGTGTCCTGTGACCCCCAATGTCCTGTGACCCCCAATGTCCCTGTGACCCCCAATGTCCCTGTCACCCCCAATGTCCTGTAGCCCCAATGTCCCTGTGACCCCCCATGTCCCTGTGACTCCCAATGTCCCCCTGACCTCCAATATCCCTGTGACCCCAATGTCCTTGTGACCCCCAATATCCCTGACCCCCATGTCCCCTGACCCCCAATATCCCTGTGACCCCCTATGTCCCTGTGACCCCCAATGTCCCCTGACGTCCCCAATGTCCCTGGGACCCCCTGGCCCCCTGATGACCCCCAATGTCCCTGTCACCCCCTGGCCCCTGTGACCCCCAAAATGTCCCCCAGATCCCCTGGTGATATTTAAGAGGGAGAAGGAGGTTGCTCGCAGCCTGGAGTTCTCGGGGCTCTACATCACCCAGCAGCCCCCTGATGTCCCTGTGACCCCCAATGTCCCTGTGACCCCCAATGTACCTGTCACCCCTGACCCCCTGACCCAATGTCCCCCAGATCCCCTGGTGATATTTAAGAGGGCAAAGGAGGTCGCTTCGCAGCCTGGAGTTCTCAGGGCTCTACATCACCCAGCAGCCCCCAATGTCCCTGGGACCCCCAATGTCCCTGTCACCCCCTGACCCCCAATGTCCCTGTGACCCCCAATGTCCCCCAGATCCCCTGGTGATATTTAAGACGAGAAAAGGAGGTCGCTCGCAGCCTGGAGTTCTCAGGTCTCTACATCACTCAGCAGCCCCCAATGTCCCTGGGACCCCCAATGTCCCTGTGACCCCCAATGTCCCTGTGACTCCCCAATGTCCCTGTGACCCCCAATGTCCCCCAGATCCCCTGGTGATTTTTAAACGAGAAAAGGAGGTTGCTCGCAGCCTGGAGTTCTCAGGGCTCTACATCACCTAGCAGCCTCAATGCCTGTGACCCCCATGTGCCTCCCTGTGATCCTGCCCCCAATGTCCCTGTCCCCCTAATGTCCCTGTGACCCCCCAATGTCCCCTGGACCCCCAATGTCCTCTGACTCTAATGTCCCTGACTTAAATGCCTCAGATCCCTGGTGATATTTAAGAGGGAGAAGGAGGTTGCTCGCAGCCTGGAGTTCTCAGGGCTCTACATCACCGAGCAACCCCCCGAGGACGACGTCAAGGGACAGTGGGACCGGCTCGTGCTCAACGCCCAGTACGGCACTGGGGGGGCACTGGGAGGGCACTAGGGACACTGGGAGGGCACTGGGAGGGACAGGGAGGGCACTGGGGAAGCACTGGGAGGGACAGGGAGGGCACTGGGAGGGCACTGCTGGCACTGGGAGGCAGTGGGGGTACTGGAAGGGCACTGGGTGGGCACTGGGAGTCACTGGGGGGCACTGGGAGGGACAGGGAGGGCACTGGGAGGCACTGGGTGCACTGGGGGGCACTGGGAAGGCACTGGGGGGACTAGGGGGGCACTGGGAGTCACTGGGGGCACTGGGTGCACTGGAAGGGCACTGGAGTCACTGGGGGGCACTGAGAGGGACTGGGAGAACTGGGAGGCACTGGGAAGGCACCGGGGGACTGGGCACTGGGAGTCACTGGGGGCACTGGGGGACTGGGGCACTGGGAGGCACTGGAGTCACTGGGGGCACTGAGAGGCACTGGGAGCACTGGGGGCACTGGGGAGGCACTCGGGGGACTAGAGGCACTGGGGGCACATGGGGACTAAGAGGGCACTGGGAGTCACTGGGGGGCACTGGGAGTCACTGGGGGCACTGGGGCACTGGGAGCAACTGCAGGCACTGGGAGGGCACAGGGAGGCACTGGGGGGACACTGGGGGCACTGGGGTGTTGGGGGCAGGGAGGGGTCACTCAGGACCCCCTCTGACCACCCTCTCCCCAAACCCCCAGATCCTTCCCCAGCAATTACTGGGACAAGTTCGTCAAGAGGAAGGTGAGGAGGGGGTGGGATGGTCCCACAGCCCCCTCCCCCTGTGACTCCCCCACATTTTGGGGCCATCCCTCGATTGTGGGCCCCCTCAATTTTGGGGTCTTTTCCCACCACCCCCTCAGGTGCTGGAGAAGTACGGGGACATTTACGGGCAGGAGAGAATCGCGGAGCTGCTGGGGATGGACCTGGCCAGCCTGGAGATGGGGGCACAGGGGGCGTAGGGTCCCCCTGACAGCTCCTGCTCACCTGGTGGGTCTGGGGGACTCTGGGGGTCCTGGGGGCTCTGGGGGTCCTGGGGTGGGATGGACCTGGCCAGCCTGGAGATGGGGGCACAGGGGCGCAGGGCCTCCTGACAGCTCCCTGCTCACCTGGTGGGTCTGGGGGCTCCTGGGGGTCCTGGGGGCCTTGGGGGTCCTGGGGGTGGGATGGACCTGGCCAGCCTGGAGATGGGGGCACAGGGGCGCAGGGCCCCCCGACAGCTCCCTGCTCACATGGTGGGTCTGGGGGGTCCTGGGGGCTCTGGGGGTCTGGGGAGCTTTGGGGCGTCCTGGGGGTGGGATGGACCTGGCCAGCCTGGAGATGGAGGCACAGGGGGCGCAGGGCCCCCGACAGCTCCCTGCTCACATGGTGGGTCTGGGGGGTCACTGAGGGGTCTGGGGTCCTGGGGGTCCTGGGGGGGTCCTGGGATGGGACCTGGCCAGCCTGGAGATGGGGGCACAGGGCGCAGGGGCCCCCTGACAGCTCCCTGCTCACCTGGTGGGTCTGGGGGCACTGGGGGTCCTGGGGGGCTTTGGGGGGTCCTGGGGGTGGGATGGACCTGGCCAGCCTGGAGATGGGGGCACAGGGGCGCAGGGCCCCCCGACAGCTCCCTGCTCACATGGTGGGTCTGGGGGTCACTGGGGGTCGGCTTTGGGGCTCTGGGGTGCTGTTGGGGGTCCTGGGGGTGGGATGGACCTGGCCAGCCTGGAGATGGGGGCACAGGGGGTGCAGGGCCCCCTGACAGCTCCCTGCTCACATGGTGGGTCTGGGGGTCTCTGGGGGGTCCTGGGGATTGGGGCTTTGGGGGTCCTGGGGTGGGATGGACCTGGCCAGCCTGGAGATGGGGGCACAGGGCGCAGGCCCCCGACAGCTCCCTGCTCACATGGTGGGTCTGGGGGTCACTGGGGGTCTCTGGGGGTCCAGTCTGGGGGCTTTGGGGGTCCTGGGGGTGGGATGGACCTGGCCAGCCTGGAGATGGGGGCACAGGGGCGCAGGGCCCCCTGACAGCTCCCTGCTCACCTGGTGGGTCTGGGGGTCACTGGGGGTCCTGGGGGTCCCTGGGGGTCCTGGGGGTGGGATGGACCTGGCCAGCCTGGAGATGGGGCACAGGGGGCGCAGGGCCCCCCGACAGCTCCTGCTCACCTGGTGGGTCTGGGGGTCACTGGGGGTCCTGGGAGGGTCTGGGGGTCCTGGGGGTGGGATGGACCTGGCCAGCCTGGAGATGGGGGCACAGGGGCGTAGGGCCCCCCGACAGCCTCCTGCTCACATGGTGGGTCTGGGGGTCCTGGGGGGGCCTGGGGCTGGGGTCCTGGGGGTGGGATGGACCTGGCCAGCCTGGAGATGGGGGCACAGGGGGCGCAGGCCCCCTGACAGCTCCCTGCTCACATGGTGGGTCTGGGGGTCCTGGGGGTCCTGGGGGTCTCTGGGGGTCCTGGGGGCTCTGGGGGTCCTGGGGGTGGGATGGACCTGGCCAGCCTGGAGATGAGGGGCACAGGGGGCGCAGGGTCCCCCTGACAGCTCCCTGCTCACATGGTGGGTCTGGGGGGCACTGGGGGTCCTGGGAGTCCGGGGTCCTGGGGGCTTTGGGGGTCCTGGGGGTGGGATGGACCTGGCCAGCCTGGAGATGGAGGCACAGGGGCGCAGGGCCCCCGACAGCTCCCTGCTCATGGTGGGCCTGGGGGGCACAGGGGGTCCTGGGGGTCCCTGGGGGTTTGGGTGGTCCTAGAAGGGTTTT